TTCTTTTCTTTCCTTCTGACTGTTAGCCACATGGAAGAAAGAAGGTTAGGTCTCATCAATCAACACTGTCCTTCACATCAGGGACCCACTGGATTGACAGGCCCAAGCTTTCACTTCTTCAATCCAAATATGCATCATATCCCAACACTACTTTTTTGGGACCTTCTCCCAAGTGACATTAGTTGTGAAAAAGCTTTTAGCTTCCAATTCAAAAAAGTACCTAGAAAAGGAACTTAGTTTAGCCATGTGGCAGAGGCTGTTGTGCAGAAACTTGCCCCCACCACCATGGATAAAAGTCAGAAAATTGAAGAACTAGACACATGGAGTACTTCTGGAGACTGCCGAATGTAAGATTTCTAGGTGTTTTTCAGAGTTCTCTCGACTCCTATTATTATTATTATTAAGCAGGTCTACTAATTGGATCATTTAATAGAAGAATCTTCTGCATGGCTAATTGGTTCAGACAAAAATGGTATCATATTGGTCTTGCTACCCTTCATGGAAAAGTTTGAACAAAAAAATCATTGCCATATGGCCAGAATAAACCCCTCTTTTTTAGGCATCTTTTATATTAAAATATTGAAACATTCAATGACCAATATCACTTATGGAAGGCAGCAATAAAAGATGGAATGGACCATAGGGCTGATATAAAGACTGGAGTATTCCAGAGGTGGCCAATTCAGAGGGTCTCTTGGGTGAGTTGCTTGGATTGGCTACAACATTCCCCTATATGGCAGGTTGTGAAGGAAACCCTAATTGTTTACCAAATAGTGGACCACTTAGATTGGCTTTAAATTCCCAGTCCCTATGTCCTGCATGTAACCTTTAGTATTAACATTCTGTGCCAGATAAAAGAATAAGCCATTTGGTGCCCATTCAGGATACCATACCACCATATGAACCAGCTATTGAAAAGCATAAGCCTTTGGAACCATTAACTCACATAATGCTGGAAGTAGAAGTAGATATGGGGCTTTTTGTTTAAGCTATTGGTTTTTGAGGTACCCAACAACCATAATTGATTGCTTCTGTTGTTTTTGTTCTTTACAGCCCCAAGTTGCTGGCACTTCTCTTATGATTATTAGGCAACGGACTAATATTGGTTGTGTTCTAAAAGGCTTTGGCCATGGGAATCTTTCAGATGTTCATCATGTCAACCTCTAATCATGTGGCAAGGTTCAGTCAAAAAGTCTTCTGGACTAACATGGGCAAAAGAAAAAAGAAGGGCATTCTTCATACCTCAAATAGGTGGATGAAAAGACCTTTTTTCATGTTTTTCTATTGGTAAAAGTCTCAACTTCAAACAAGCACTGAGTTCATTTAGATTTAGAAATCCATAAAGGAAAAGAAAGATGGTAGATATTGTTGTTGGGAACAATTCTAACCAAACAGTGAGGGAATTTTATGATGATGGCAATCAAAAGGGCAAATCTACCTCTTTAACTACCCACCTTTAAGACAGTAAATTCTACAAACAGTGATGGAGTTCTTTTTAGATTTGGAAACCCATAAAAGAAAAGAAAGACAGTAGTGATTGTTGTTGGGAACAATTCTAACCAAAAGTGATGGAATTTTATGATATTGGCAATCAAGGGGCAATCTCTACCACTTTAACTCTTTAAGATAGCAAATATAATTCTCCCTATATCAAGAAAAATAAATTATAATGTACCAATGACTTCTAGAAGGAATAGAGTACTTAAGAAAAACTTCCTTACCGTTTTTTTCTTTTTCCCACACATTGGATGCCCACCACTTGTTAATATAATTTCATATTTTAATACAAGAGGTCTAAAATTATTATAGTTTTAATACTTCAACTTCAATTAAATGAAAAAATGATTCTTTTTTATAAAATTGAAAACCATTGTCTATTATATGAAATGATAGCATGCTAACAATCAAAATGAGGCTAGATAGCTTGAAAATTAAGGAAGAAAAACATCAATAGCATGCCCACATACACACCTGTCCACAGTCTTGACTTGAATCTATGCATGGTTGAATATGACTTATTAAATATTGATCTAACTAATGAATTGTTAATTTGTCAGATTCACATCTTGCTTGAACATTTTATGTTATTTACAAAATTTGGGATTTGCACTCATCCAGTTTGGTGAGAACTACTGTGGAATTCTCATCAATATGGCATAGAAAATGAATTTGACCCAACTCAAATAGGTGACTATTTTAGGTTTGGCTTTAGATACACCCCAACTTATAGCTATGAATTTATTGAGAATGAACCTGATCAACCTCACGTTTTTGACAGTTGAATTTCCCATGTTTAATGCACTTGAAAAGGATAATGCTTCGAGACAAATCAACCATACTCATCCAAACTTTCATTTTTTTTTTACTGTAAAAAAAAAAAAAAAGATGCTCAACCTTGGCTAGTTTTATATAAATGACAAGTTTCTTTTGGCTAAAATATTTTCCGTGACAGTGGGACTCCTTTAGGGGTGCAAGAGAAATTGATATGTGAAACAGTGAAAGATTCTCTAAAGGAGTCTGTAATGAGCTTTTTGAAACAATACTTATCCCGGGACCAACCTGTCCACGGATTCCTCTCTCCTAATAATCCAGACTATTCATCAGATGAGGAATCCTCTAAATTGGCCATGTATTGAACTCTACAGTTCACAACCCTTCTTATTAGAGCTGCAGATGGTCTCCAATAATCCAAATTGGAATTTAATTCAATTAAGGCAATCGGAATTCAATCTGTGTTTGTAATTAGATCAATATGTATCCACTCCAATCTAAATATCTGATCCGATAAATTTAAGCATATATGCTTATATCTACATAAAATTAATGTGTTCATAAAATAAAGTTGGTCCAATGTTGCATATTTACTAAAGAGAAGTGTATATTCAAGTCTCATAAAAGTTATTTTTAAGTCATTTTATTGATGATATACAATGTCAAACTCATTTTTTAAGCCCCAAAATTAACTCCAGATAGAGGGGTGGCCACCTTAAATTTTATCAATCATTATCAAAGTAAAAAGAAAAGATTACAGGGGGAAAACATAACCCACCTTGCCTAGGGATGCAAACAGAATGGATTGGATTCGAATTAAGGTATATCTGAATCCGATCCAATGAACTGTAGGTCTGATCCGAAGATTCGATTGGATCTCACAAATATTGATTTGGATTCGAATTTAATAAGAATGTCAAATATCTGAATATGATCCGATCTGATTTAATTTTAAAAAAAAATAAATTATTAAAAGAAAAAGAATATATAACAATTTAAATAAAGAAAAACAAAAAATAAAAGCATTTTTTCAACTATTTTCATCATATATATACATGTTTTTCATAAAAATAATAATATAAAAAATCTACAGAAAAAATGCAATATAAATAACATATTTATAGATAAATAAATAACATATATATTATACCGGATCAAATAGGAGTGATCTGAATCCGATCCGATTATCCAATCCGAAAATCTAAAATGAGGATATCCGAATCCAACAAAATAGAATCGGACTTCAGATCGGATCCTATCGAATCATGATCCATTTGTGCCCCTAACCTACCCCAAGCTCAAGATGCACAATAATAGTCATCATCATCATCATCCATGCCTTACTCCAACTATATTGGGTCAGTCAGCTACATGAATCCTGTTTCCACATTCCATTCTATTTAAAGCTACATCAACTGTTAACTTATTAGTAGTTATATTATTTTTTACTACTTTTACCCGTTTCTTTTTTGGTCTACCCCTATCTCTTCTAACTCTCTCCACTTGTAACAAATCACTTCTTCTAACCAAAAATGTTAGTAATCTTTTATGCATGTGACCACACAATTTTATTAGCCAATTTAAAAATCGTTTTAATTCATTTTATCAATAATAGTATCATAACAATATTCTGGTTATTTTTAGTTTAATTAATTAATGGTATTCTATATCCACGTACAATTTAAGCACAATCTAAATCCGATGGATAGGATTCTGTTTAAATGTAAATATTAGCGAGTCACATTTAGATCACTATGGCCAATAAACCAACCCAAATTAGCCATTAGATAGAGCCTAGAGGAAGAGGACCTATTGGATTGCCTACCTGTTTACCCCAAAGTCTATTAACCTATACATATAGTCTTTGTCAAATTACAATCCCCATACAGTGGATTGATCATACGTTCATCCCCGAGGTTCATATCTCAATGACCATCTACTGCACCCATTTCAGCCACAAAGGCAACTATGATCAATCCAAACTGTCCAAATAGGGGTTCTATTGGATTGTCAACATGTATTAATCCTGTAAGTACTAAGTAGTCTATGTTAACAATGTCACAAATATTACACTGGAGTTCTGGCCAATCAATTTGGCATTTTAATACATAAACTGTCCACATAATAGGGTTCCACTTTTAACACGTGGCAAAATCTTCTAGGTAAGAAAGTTTTCCAAGGACTTAAATTGCCATATGGAAGATCATTAGGTCTTTCTCACTAAACACTACCCAGATATCCAACTATTTGGGATCTGGGCCAGGAATAATTGGGGCCAGACTGGGCTATAATCCCCGTACCAACAAGCAAACCCATTTTCACTGGGTAGTAATCTGCTACCAATCCTGTCCATACAAACCACTGCAGCCTCACGTTGGGAACAACTCTCTTGTCATTCTCCCCAAGTACGGCTGCAATGGATGGTGGGGACGTTGTTGGCACAATGTGTTGGTAGCCGATCCAACTCATTTTCACCCACCCAAACAGAGAGAGAGAGACAGAGAGACAGAGAGAAAGAGAGACCTGGTTGCCGATCAGCTCATTAGCCTGTATTCAACTCCTTACTATAGCTCTCCCGAAATGATGCATGCCATTTTAGCTTCAGTATTTTATCACTTTGAAGTTGGCCCCAAATGAAAGGTTTACTTTGTTTGACTGCTTTGTTATTTGTCTGTGATTGTGTGTTGCAGAATTGCAATCTTGGGTGTGAGTGAAAAGGAATAGCCACGAGTCCCAGGAAATAAAATACTTGAATCAAATAACTTGTGACATCTAGTCAGGTTAAATTAAATCAAATGCTTACTAAGAATAAGTTAAAAACAGCATATTTTAACCCATGCATATGTTCCACGTACAATGAAATTGTACTTGTACTATACAACCAGCTTATAACATGTTCCAGATTAGTCCCCGTATAGTTTCAGCAATGACGCCCTCTTTTTATCGGCTGTGCTTTCATTCTCACCAAGTAATTACTCGTAGAGCTTTTCCACGGTAGCTTTTAGACGTGCAACATCAGCACCGATTACTTCAGTAGCCTTTGCCCCATTACAAAAAAGGTGAAACGTTGGCTGCAAGAGAGAAAAAAGTGCTGTTAAGCACACTATTCAAAGTAAAATGCAAAAATAAATAGCATACAAAACATATTCAAGCATGTCAAAATTTCAATTGCATTATTTCAAATAGTTAAATGTGACATCTTTCATCCCAAATTCCAAGTGAGATGAGCAATAAAGCAAAAGCCGATCCCAATTCCAAGTGGGGATACATGTTGTCAGAGGAGGCTAGACGCCACATGCAAGTCCAATCTGACTTGACCGTCAGAGACTCTTACCCCGGGACACCTACTCAGGGTCTCTGACGTTTCTCTATGCTCACAGGTGTACCCCATTGCCAAGGTCTTCAACGGAGTTCCAGATTTTCCCTCTACACAGACCGTGCAGCATGAATACCCACCACCACAAGCCAAATCAATTTCTTTGCATACATCTTAATCCTAGGGCTGCCCTTTGTGACCTGGGTGACCAGGGTTCGAATCTTGGAAACAGCCTCTCTTATGTACAGGGGTAAGGTTGTGTATACCTGTCCTTCCCCAGACCCCACATTGGCAGGAGCCCCGTGCACTGGGCTGCCCTTTACATCTTAATCATAGTCATCAAGCCCTATCCCAATTATATGGGGTCAGCTCATAATCCCCACAGGACTCAAACAGCCAATTCTTAGTTCAGGTTGCCACTGTTAACAAAGCTCCCAATCTAATACTGCTGTTGCTTCTTTGTTAGCAAGATTACAGAAATAAACCTCCACCCATTCTTAAACAGTGTTGGTCTAGCAATTTTTTGTCTTTAGATACCCATTCCTCCACCTGCTTCTCATCTTGATTTGATTCAATGAATCAACCCACAAGACATCATGTAACAGTTTTTTAAGTGTTACTGCAACTTTCTGACCTGCACTACCTCCACCAAATGTGCAGAATCTCCTCTGGTCTCTAAATCATCATAAGCCCTAGTTGAGAAGTCACTTTCATCTCTCAGGTCCCATGAGATATTAGATGGTTCAATCAAATATTTGCATGAAATGATTCTCAAAAATAGTTGCATATATGACACAAATTAGAGTTATTTATTGAAACATGATGCTGAAATCATTTGAAGGTGTAGACATTAATTGATTCATGAGTGGTGCACATGCACCAGTGTTTGTTCTTGCCCAGATAGATGAGATTGCCCCCAGTTGGAGACCACCCAATGAGACCATCCCTCAAGCTAAAATTTGGTCAACCCCATGGTTTAAAGTGTCCCTAATTTCCCTAATATTTCCACAACATATTTCCATTTCCATGGGTAGCGACACGAAATTTTATTGGAATCGACATTTCCCCAATAACACTATGTGGAGTGCAAGAGAGAGTTTCCACGACATACTTCCATTTCCACTTCCATGGGTAATGTTGGTTCGGATGTCTTAATGTGTATGCTTATCTTTGTTGGGTCTTAAGTCGTTAGTTATTGGGCCTAATCTTATTTAGTGTTTCTTATTTGTCTAGGTGTCCCATCACTAATCAGGGGCATTCTAGTCTATTCATGTAATACTATGTAATACACTTATATATAATAGAGTAGGGTCGGCTGAGAGAGGTGTGCCACCATTCTCAAAACTTTCTCTTCTTCTTCTTCTCTTCTCCTTCGGCAGCTGTGTTCCAGCAAACATGGTATCAGAGCTCTAATCTATCACCTGGTTACAGCCGCCGCCTCCTCTTCTACTCTTATCTAACTCTCTTTCTTTTTCTTTTCTATCTTGGTTGCTGCAAAGAAACCCTAGGGTTGGTCGTAGAACACAGCAAGACCTACATCTAGGGTTTCCCTTGGTTGTAGGGCCCAAGGGGAGTTTGTCCCAGAAGCTGATGCCCTACTAGACTTATTACAGCAGATTGTAGCCATTCAGCTAAGAGAGATCTGTGTGGAACAGATCTAGGTGGGAGGACTGATTTCGGCAGTCCTAGGGCTGGTCGTAGGGGTGATTACAGTCTGCGACAATAGAGGTTAAAACACAGCAGAAGTCAGCACAGTGCAGCCGTGTGTTGCTCTTGGTTTCAGCTCTGTTACGGGTTCTCAGGACTGAGTTTGCAGTGTAACAATTTCCGTAAGTCTGAAACAGCTTTCTGTATATTGTGTTTGCAGTTGTGATTCTTGCAAGTAGGAGAAGATGTCTTCAGTATCCGGGGAAGAGTCTTCTAGGGATGTTAGGACTGGTGGGAGGTCTCATAATCTGGAGAATCCAAATCTGCACAGCCTGCAGATCACTAATGTGTTGTTGGATGAGTACAACTTCAGAGAATGGTCTGTTTCAGCCATGCTCTTCATCACTTCTCGGGAACTCACTGGGTATTTGGACGGGCTGAAGAAGGAACTTGAAGTGGGTAGTGTAGAATATGCAGTTTGGCGTAAGGAGAATGCTATTGTTATGTCCTGGCTACTTGCTCCAATGACTCCACGAGTAGCTAGGACTGTTCAACACTTCTCCACTGCTGCCAAGATCTGGGAGAAAGTTTCTAACACTTATGGGCAGAGAAAAAACAATGCCAGAATTTATAGACTGAATCAAGACATTGCTGCCTTGAGACAAGGGGATATGACTGTTGCAACATATTTTGATTGGGAGAATGCCAAAGACAAGGAAAGGCATGATAAACAAATTGAAGAGGGCAGAGCATTTAAATTTTTGGCTGGTTTAGATCCAATATATGAGAGCATAAGGTCTCAAATTCTGAGAAGGGATGAAATGCCAGATTTACATCGTGTTTATTACTTAGTGAGGAATGAAGAGGTTAGAAGAAAAGAGATGCAAGCTGATACTCAAATTAAGCCAGCTGAACAGCCTGTTGAACATTCGGCCCTAATTTCTACAAATCAAAAGGGGAATAAATACTCGGACAAGAGGCATCTTAAGTGCACTCATTGTGGAGGTGAAAGGCATGTGAAAGAGACTTGTTGGGTTCTCTATCCTCATTTGAAACCAGTTGCCTTGAGGAAAGATAAGAAGCACCAGAAGGGTCAAGCTGCAAGTGGGAATCTTGTTGCCAGTCACAGTGATGATAGCTCAAAACACTCATCCACAGTTACTTCTTCTCCCATGGGACAGATTGCTAATTCCTCCGGACCAGGGTCCTTGGGTTTCACTGCTGATGAAGTAGAGGTACTTAGCCGGGCTCTAGCCCATCTAAGGGCCAATTCTCTTGCTTCCCACCTCCCTTGCCAGATCAGATAATGTCTCTGCTTTTAGTGCAACTAGTTCTATTGATCCTGCTTCTTGGATTATTGATTCCGGTGCAACTGACCACATGGCACATATGTCCTCTCTATTTTCTTCCTATCATTTATTGTCTGGCCAAGATAAGATGAGGGTTGCTGATGGTTCTTTCTCCACCATCTCTGGGAAAGGGGTGGTTGACCTAAGCAAGGACCTCTCACTCAAATATGTTCTGCATGTTCCCAATCTTTCTTCAAATTTCTTATCTGTTTCAAAGCTTACCAAGAATTTGAATTGTAGCATAACCTTTTTCCTACTCATTGTGTCTTTCAGGACAGATTGACGAAGAGAATGATTGGGAGCGGTCATGAGTATAGAGGTCTCTACTACCTTGATGCAGACATCAATTCGGCCTTACAAACATCTGCTACTAGTAGTCCGTCCAATGTAGAGTCAATAGCTAGGTTACATCTGTGGCATGCTAGGCTAGGTCATTTGCCTTTTTCATCATTAGAAGTGTTGTTTCCGGAATTATTCAAGGGTGTTTCAAGTCAAAATTTAGTTTGTGAAGTATGTCAGCTGTCAAAACAATGTAGAACTGTTTATCCAATTTCTAGTAATGAAATTCAAGCTCCTTTTGATTTAGTCCACTCTGATGTTTGGGGCCCTTCACCCCTTGTTTCTGTTGATGGCTTTCGGTACTTTATCAGTTTTATTGATCACCACTCACGATGCACATGGATCTATTTGTTAAAAGGACGCGATGAAGTGCCACGGATAACCATGACATTTTACAAAATGATTGAAACACAATTTTTCAAGAAAATTAAGCAATTCCGGTCAGACAATGCCGTTGAATATTTTGAAAGATCCTTGAACCTGTTTATGGAGGATGTTGGAATGATACATTAGTCATCTTGTGCTAGTACCCCCCAACAGAATGGGGTTGTTGAGCGCAAGAATAGACACCTATTGGAGACTGCTCGAGCCTTACTATTTCAGCACAAGGTTCCCAAGCACTACTGGTCTCAAGCAGTCCTTACTGCATCATATCTGATAAATCGAATGCCATCCAAGGTATTGGGTATGAAAACTCCTTTCTCTGCCCTTTGTCCTCATCTTCCAGATTTTTCTCTTCCACCTAAAGTCTTTGGTTGTATATGTTTTATACATGTAAAGGATCCAAAGAAGACCAAGTTGGATCCTAGGGCTACGAAAGGAATCTTTTTGGGGTACTCTCCTACACAGAAGGGTTACAAGTGTTATGATCTAGTCACCAAGAAAAAATGTCACAAAGGATGTGGTGTTTTTTGAGTCTCAGTCCTATTTTCATTCTTCCCAGAATCCTCTTCAGGGGGAGATTAGCGGGATGGAAGAGGATTCCTCTGTTCCCTCCTTTTTTGTGCCTCTTTCTGACCTTCCATCTTCTCCTCCTGATCCTCCTAGTTGTAGTATCCCGGGTGAACCTAGTGAGGCTCCCATTGTACCAGCTACCACTCTTGATGTTGCAGATGCTACTGAAGACTCCAGGAGGCAACAAAAGGATATAAGAATCACCTACAACAGAAGGAAAAAGAGCCCTCTAACTCATGACTGCAACCAATTGGACTCGGATCAACCTGTCTCAGCACCTCCAGGTAATCTTATCACACATACTTCTGATTTGGATCTCCTTATTGCCCTTCGTAAGCCTACCCGTTCTTGTACTATCCGACACCCCATTGCTGATTTTGTGTCTTACTCACATTTGTCTCCTCGTTATTGTTCCTTTGTATCTGCTCTTTCTTCTGTGGATGTCCCTACTAGGTATTCAGAGGCAATGTCTGACCCAAGATGGAAAGAGGCTATGAACAAAGAAATGAAAGTCTTAATGAGAGCAAGGACCTAGGAATTAGTGGATCTACCGGAAGGAAAAAGCACTGTTGGATGCAAGTGGGTGTTCACTGTAAAGCATAGGGAGGACGGGTCCATTGAAAGGTACAAGGCCAGACTTGTAGCAAAAGGGTTTACTCAAAAGGAAGGGATTGACTACAAAGAAACCTTTGCTCTAGTAGCAAAACTCAACACAATCCGAGTTCTATTTTCATTAGCTGCAAACTTCTCATGGGAGCTACATTAGTTGGATGTGAAGAATGCTTTCCTAAATGGCGACCTACATGAAGAGGTATTCATGGATCCTCCACTAGGTTATGGGCTTGGCAGGAAAATGTGTAGACTGAGAAAAGCATTATATGGTCGTAAGCAGTCTCCTCGGGCTTGGTTTGAGAAGCTTTGTGGGGCCATGAAGAAAGTGGGTTATACTCAAAGTAGGGCAGATCATACCTTGTTCATAAGGAAGAAAAATGGCAAACTTATAGCACTTATTGTCTATGTGGATGATATGGTGATTACAGGGGATGATCAAGAAGAGATAAAAAGACTAAAGGAGTTCTTGGCTGCTGAGTTTGAAATCAAAGACCTGGGCCATCTAAGATACTTCCTTGGGATTGAAGTTGCTAGGTCAAAAGAGGGGGTCTATATATGTCAACGGAAATATGTCCTTGATCTTCTAGAATAGACAAATATGATGGGGTGTAGGCCAGCAGATACTCCAATAGAGCAGAACCATGGTCTACAGGAATCAATAGGAGAGGACTACCTTGATAAAGAGAGGTACCAAAAGCTGGTGGGGAAGTTGATTTATCTATCTCTCACTCGCCCAGATATTGCTTATGTTGTACATGTTGTCAGTCAGTTCATGCATTTTCCTAAAATCCCTCACATGAGAGCTGTGGAAAGGATTCTCAGATATTTGAAGACTTGCCCGGGGAAAGGAATTATGTTCAGAAAACACAATAAAATTGAAGTTGAAGCATATACTGATGCAGATTGGGCTGGTTCTGTTGGGGACAGGAAGTCAACCTTCGGGTACTACACCTTTGTTGGAGGAAATCTGGTTACATGGAGGAGTAAAAAACAAAATGTGGTTGCTAGATCAAGTGCAGAGGCTGAATATCGAGCTATGGCTCATGGTGTTACTGAACTTCTGTGGCTTAAGATCCTTCTTGGTAAACTCGGAATAAAGATCGAGTGTCCTCTCAGGTTGCACTGTGACAACAAGTCTGCCATCAACATTGCAAATAACCCAATGCAACATGATAGAACGAAACATATTGAGATTGACTGACACTTCGTCAGAGAAAGAATAGTCTCAGGAGAACTCTGCATTCCTTATACTCCCTCCGAGATGCAGATTGCAGATGTTCTAACAAAAGGGCTAGCTTCAATAAAATTCGTGGACTTACTTGGCAAGCTAAACATGATTGACATCCATGCGTAGCTTGAGGGGGAGTGTTGGTAGCTTGAGGGGGATTGACATGATTGACATCCATTAGTTATTGGGCCTAATCTTATTTAGTGTTTCTTATTTGTCTAGGTGTCCCATCACTAATCAGGGGCATTCTAGTCTATTCATGTAACACTATGTAATACACTTATATATAATAGAGTAGGGTCGGTTTAGAGAGGTGTGCCGCCATTCTCAAAACTTTCTCTTCTTCTTCTTCTCTTCTCCTTCGGCAGCTGTGTTCCAACAAACAGGTAACAACATGAAATTTTTACTAGAATTGACATATTCCCCATTGAACACTACCAATTCTATGTGGAGTATAAGAGTATTATAACATAATTTGGTAACAACATTGTAGGTATGTGAAGTAACAAGTTATTGTATTACCACTTTGAGCTAACTCAATATTCATTTCAGATATAAAATATTAGTTTTTGTTCGTGTAATAGATTATTTGGTTAATATATTACAACCATTTACATTTTCTGAGTTCAAATTTTGCTTTAACTCATTCTATCATAAATCTCCGAATCTTAAGGCTTATAGGGCAACTTTAGAATATATTTTTTATTCATAACCTTAGGTTCTTATCTTTGTTTAATGATTTAGAATAAGATAATAATTTAAAAAGGCGTGCCTATGCTTCCTTTATCATTTCATAAAATAACATTCTATATTTTGCACATTTTACAATGTTTCCACCATATCTATAATTTTTACAATATTTCCGACATTTCTGACATGTTTCTCATATTTGGATGACCGACATTTCCACCAACATCGACATTTCAAACTTTGGTCAACCCTGAGACTACAGCCTTTAGGTGTTGGAGCAGATCTCCCTCCCTCCTTAGAGACACTATCTCAAACATGTAAGATCTCTAACATTCTGATTGAACCCCTTGATCATTAGACTTAGAGACCCATAATTTCTGTGGTGAATGACCATATGTTGTTAGACACATATTGGCTATACACGTGGTGATTTTGAATGAGGTTATAATGGATTAGACATATTTAAATGTGAGTGTCTCAAGATAAAAAAGAACCAGAAATTAATTACCACAAGATGACTTAACTAGGTGAATAACCATATGTTGCTACAATGTGAAAGTAGTGCACTGCACAAACCATTTTCAAAACAAATCATGATAAGTGGGTTTTTACCACAGAGGTAATATTTAACTCGCTTAATGTGTCCTCAAGCCCCTCCTGCAACAGATTACCAATAATAAGCTCAGTGAAAGTTTCAAAGTAAAAGAAATTCTATAATTTTTTTTATAAATTAAAACAAAGAAAAAAAAAGGAAATTTTACAATCATAAGACAGACAGCTGCAATAAATGCAAAAGGAAAAATATTGTCATCACTACAAATATATATATCGACTTGAGTAATAAGTTCTAAGGTGATCTGGTTTTAGTAGATACAATGTGAAGTCACTTCACATTCAGTCTGCAGAACCATTCTGGTAAGAATTACATTGAGAATAATTGTTTTTGTCGTTCCTAACAGGAAAATGTGATTGAGGAATATTGGAGCATTATAAATTGCAGTTTCATCGATTTATCACTTGGATGCTCCAAAAGAATTGCATTAATAATGAAATAATACTATAAACAAAACCAACCCAAATTGGTGGGAATAAACTTGGAGGAGAATCTACGGTGAGAAGATTTGCAGGTATTCTAGGTTGCAGGTATTCTACGGCATGGGCAAAATTCAGGAGTGGACTACGGGTCCCTCCCAAAGCCTACGGGCCACACTACTGCTGAAAGACCCAGTCGCCTCAACGGCATGGCAAAGTTCAGGAGTGGACTACGGGTCCCTCCCAAAGCCTACAGGCCACACTACTGCTGAAAGACCACGTCGCCTCTACCGCATGGGCAACACTACTGCACAAGACCCAACCGCCTCGTCGGCATGGGCAAAGTCAAGGAGAGTGGACTACAAGTCGCTCCTAGAATCTAAGGGCTAAAGTACCGAACTGGCAGAGACCTCAGCACCTTACAGGCAGCTCGCTTCCAAGCAGCTCCCAGAACCTAAGAAACTAAATCAGCGCTTACAAGCTCGTCGACTAACGGGCTAAAAGGAGAAATATACTCCCTTCGCCGAGTTGCTTTCATCTCGGGAGTGGGGGGCAAATGATGAGGGCGGATTTGGCCCTCCAATGACATTATGACACCTGGCAGCCTCATGCCAACTAAGTGCAGCCCCTTGACAGCTAGGCAGCTCGCCATCATGCAACACTCACAGGCAGCTCACCACTAGGCAGCTCGCCATCATTACAACACAGACAGCTCGCCATCATGTAGCCTGGCACCTCAGAACAACTAGGCGACACCCGGGACCACTTTGACAACAACTTGCCTTTGCTAAGTTGATGGTGTCCCGCCAGGTGCGGCCTGGCACGAGCTGGCAGCCTGGCCCTGGCACGAGCTGGCAGCTTGGCCCTGGCGCGACATGGCCCTGGCACGAGCTGGCGGCCTGACACAAGCGCCAACCTGACAACCTCGACGAACACACCTCCATACCCCGCATTTTACAGGATTGTGACTTGTAACGGCTATATTAGTTCACCAACTCCCCGGTTCTGACAAGAAGGGACAGTTTTACCATTTGATGGCATTTCACCCACCTAACACGCAAACCAGTCCCATCACAACTGGGATCCAGGAACTGCTCCACCTAACCCATGAGGACTCCAGTATATAAAGACCTCACCCCCCAAGGGCGAAGGTAGGATGCGAAAAGGGATGGATAACCTCTGCTCTCTAGCTCTCTCATCCTCTTATCATCTTCAAGCTCTCTACTACTATACTGCGCTAACTTAGCCATCGAAGTGACCTCACCGAGTAAACACCCCCGGGTTCTCTGATTTAGTTCTCGCAGGTCCCTCAACTCCCACCGCTTACAAAGATGAGCAGATCATCGCCAGTAGGGAGTAGCCAGTTCAGTTCCCGTCGTTACTAGTAGCCAGATCACCTCTTGCCGGTAGCAATCGAGTTGCACTACACTAGGGAGCTCGTCATCAAGGTAGCTCACCTCCAGGCAGCTCATCAAAGTAGCTCACCTCCAGGCAGCTCATCAAGGCAGTTCGCCACCAGGGAGCTCCACTTCAGCCTCTAGGTCACAGGCCACTTGGGAGCAGACGAGATGACGAGGTACTTAGCCAAAAAATTGACACATCAAGAAAAAAATGATACGTGACCGGAAACCGTCACATCAACATGTAAAGTGTATTCAAATGAAAATTTAAAAATAAAAGCAAACATATAAAACATTTTCAAGCATGTAAAGCCCGCAATCTCTTTTTTCCTTAATTTTCTTGATTCTATGAGTCACCTTTGTAGCACGCCCCTCGAGGCAAGCCCGAACAAGTCTATGTTAGGGTTTGAAATTCTTATTTCTCACATAAAAAAATAATGATTTTACAACTTTCATTGCCTTTTAAGAAGATATTTTATTGCAATGAATGAATGAACAACATAAGCAAATAGGGGCGTGCCTAACATAGACTTGTTCGGGCTTGCCTCAAGGGGCGTGGTTGGGGGTCCAGGGGTGGAGCCCCGGCCCAGCCGTTAGACTCAAAAAACAGGAAAAAGCGCAAAACTTTAAAAGGGTGCACGCCTGGGCAGAGGCGCAAGGTGCATCAGGCACATGCCTAGGCGCACCAGGCACGCGCCTTTTCAATGAGGTGTGCCAAGGACCTAGACGAGGCGCATACCCCAAAATGCGCCTAGGCGCGCCTGAGGCGCACCTTTTAAATCACTGGGATAGATAAGTGAACTTCAAGACATGAGCAAATTTGGGAAGGTAAGAGAGAGAGGTTCCCTACCATTTTAGGTTGCCAGAATGTGGATTGACAACGAAGTACCTATAGTGGAAAATTTTAACAAGAAATTAGAAAGGTAGAAGGCCAACCACATTTCCTTGGGAAGGAAAATCACCCTAATTAGATCCACCTTAGCAAATCTTCCAATCCATTACCTCTTAGTTTTCAAAATTCCAATGTTAGTGGCAAAGGAGTTAGAGAAGATTATGACAGATTTTTTATGGGACCCAAGAGAAAACAAAAATAATAATTTAGTGAATCGGGCCACTATTTTCAAATGCAAAAAGGAGGGGGCTTAGGTATAGGAAACATAGAGTTAAAAAATAAGGATTTGTTGGGCAAGTGGTTGTGGCGTTTTCCCCTGAAACCAGATTGTTTATGGAAATAAGTAATTCAGAGTATTATGGAATGAATGAAAATGGCTGGGATGTCGGGCTGAATGGAAGGGGTACCTTCTCAACACCTTGGAAACCAATTTCGGGTCTGCTGCCTTGTTTTTTTTACTCTTATTAAGTATGAATTCTTCTCTGGGGACAAAATTAAATCTTGGGAAGATCTGTGATGGGGTAATGCTCCTTTAAAAGAAAGATTCCCCTTGTTATACCAGCTTTCTTCTTTTAAAAATAAAACCATCTCTCAGTTTGTGTCTTTTTTTCCAATGGGTTATCGTGGAAATTTGGGTTTAGTTGCAACCTGAGGGAAGTTGAAATCCCCATGGGCATAGAGTTAATACTCTTTGGAAGATGTCTTTTTGGATCTTCCGAAGTCTGAAGTTAGAGTTTGGCACCCCTGTTCTTCTGATTTCTTTTCTTGCTCTTCCTTCTTCAAGTCCCTCTCTTCTCATGACCTTATCCCTAACTTTCCGGTGAAAGAGGTGTGGAGTGGACCTGCCCCACCCAAGGTGAGGATTTTCTGTTGGGAGGTTTTTCACTCAAAAATAAACACATGTGAGACCCTTCAAAAAAAAATACCCAATTGGTGCTTATCTCCTCACATCTGCCTTTCTGCAATGCGAATGGGGAAATTTCTTTTCACTTACTTTGTCATTGGTTTTCAGCAGCAACTTCATTAACCCACCTACAAGAAGAGGGAAGATCGAGGTTGCTTAGAGATGAACCAAAGAAAAGCCTCCTAAAAGGTTCTAATCCAAGGAACCTGAAAGTTATTCGAGTAAGACCTTTTGTATCATTTATTTTCTTGATGAAAATTTCATTTTCTATTATCGAAAGGAAAACAAAGTTCTGATGAGAACAGGATAGAGGATATGGCTGCGGAGAAGGGGTCCAAAGTTATTGGGAAATGGCGTTCTGAGGTGATGGAAGACAAGTCCTTCAAGATGGAAAAGGATTGGAACAAAGGAAGGTGTGTTCTAAAAATCAGAGAGAACAATAAGGCGACTATACTGGTACCGGTGGAGGTTGTTGTATGGATGAAAGGCTTCTTGGATGGTGCTATCAACTCGTGTAAGGAGGAAGGCTGGAAAAATTCTATGACAGTTCCAGGAAGGACTTTTTTAATTGAAGTGAGGAGGAATACTAAGGGGTGGTTCATCACTGTGACTGAGCTATTTGGCATAACTGGAAAACAGATGGTCTGTCTACCGGAAGGTAAGAGGCAGAAGGGGTGGATGGTATTCGTGGAGGAGTTGCAGTCATTTCTGGTGGCTGTGGAAAGGAAGAAGATGGAAGGTGAGAAGGCAGTTGTCCAGAATTCCAAAGACCTTGGCCGAAAGGTCCAGGAGAAGGTAGATGTGATTGGAATAAGGGGGAGTACAGAGGTTTAGGTACTACAGCGCCTGTGTGGTGGTTTCCTGTTCCTCTGTACATAGAATATTGGTGGGTGATGGAGTGGACAAATGGAGAAAAATGAATGGTGTTAATGGCTGATAGGAGTGTGAAGGATTAGCAGAAGGTTCCGACGGAAGTAGTTAAGGAAATTAACCTGAAGGACGAAACTGGTTTATTTCCCTTTGCAGAAAGGAAGGTGGTTCTTGATGTAGGCGACCAAGAGCTGAGCTTCAACACGGTGGTTGTAGATGGAAGCCTCATTCAGATTCAGAAATGGAGCCCTATCTGTAATGAGGTGGAGGTGAAAGATGGATGCACTCGGCTGAAATTGTTAGGTCTCCCCTTCAATCTGTGGAGGGACTCTGTTCTTGAGCAGATTGTTCAAAGCCTTGGTGGGGTACTGATGGCAGCTAACAAAAGAAATCTGGGGGCAGTGGAGCTGCAAGTCGCCGGAATCAAGCAGGAGTTCTTACCAAGATTTTTCTAAGTTTGCTCAGACGGAGCTTGGTACAGAATGTGGGTGGCGTCTGAAGTCGAACAGGCATGGTGGGGAAGAAGTCGAAAGGTTGAAGATGAAGAAGAGGTGGCATG